TGTACCACCAGCGCTAGAGTGGAATACAGGGGCCGTACATGTCTACAGCTACAGCCGATGAACCATCGCGCGGGAATCCCGCCCTCATTGTGTCGGTGGGAGGGAGAATAAAACCATCCGGACTCCACATCCTGCTCCTCCTTTTACGAGATGGGATCTGCTTGAATAATAATTCAGGATATATTTACTCTCCAAGAAAGAAATCGATTTCCTATGCATGTTTCTCGCCAGCCTTCTGAGCGGCGGCGTGAACGACATGGTAGCGACTCCGCACCAAGTCCCCGCGTGGGATTGCTCAATGGGATGCGGAAGGCGATGATCCTATGGATCGACGACGGGGTTGGGGATCGCAGCTCCTGATTTATACGACTGGAGGCGTGCAGAACGGATTTATTCGATCAGTTTGATAATCTTTTTGACGATTGGGAGACCGATCTTAAGGCCGGCGTCGAAGCTCCGCGGACCTGGTCCGACGTGGCTGATAAAGCATGTCTGCATTTCCGCGAAGAGCTCCGCGAAATCAATCTGCGAAACTTTAGCCTCGCTGATGTTCAATGCGGCGGCCACATATGATGGATCGAGGCGCTTGACGAATCTCGCACTGCAATCCAAGAGTTCCTTCGTCTCCTCCATGCTCATCTGATAGCGGTTTCGTCCCGTCGCGTTGCTGACCATGGAACAAAGGAACGATCTCTTAGCCCAATCAAACTCTCAAGGCATGCAAATCAGCGACAGGTCAGCGGAGACCCACCCGACACAGAAATCAACTCACGTTCTGACTGTGAACGACGTGCAGGCCTTGTAAGTGATGCAGGTGGCCGGCAACACTAAATCGGGGATCCTCCCCGCTCCCGATGGGATCTTCTTGATTCGCTCTAGGAGGATCTTACTGCATTTCACGACGAACTTACGGGCGACAGAAGCGTAGAATTTCCTCTCTTCTGTGGTTGTCCTGTAGTTTTCGTCGTGACTGCAGGGATCGAACTTGGTCGATATCGACGTGGCCGTCAACGAGAGCATGATCGATACGAGACATGTCGTTGCCCGCCCATGCATACTGTTCGGTCTCTGCGACGGCTTTGAGTATTGTGAAGCTCACTGACACGGCAGCTGATGCGTCTATGGAGGCTGAAACAACTCCGTTTTCTCGACCGTCAATGAAAACTGTGGGAGATGCGCGGCCAGCCTCCACTCGATACATTGTGACTCACGGTGTTTGTCTTGGTCAGTCCTTCAGAGGTATAGAGGAGCTTTGACTGCGGAAGCTTGCTGCTGTCGGAATGCGACGTTTCCGCTCGCGAGAACTCCCTCAACCCACACGGGTTCGGACCCACATATACGTCGACAAGCTGCTTATGCCAAGAAAACCTACGGGAGTACGATTATCATCTGATCGAGGCTTCACGTGCACTCGTACGCTCATAACTTCGGACTGATGATGCCTTCGCAAATATGAAGTTTTGGCGATGCTGACGGTGGCTACCTTACGACCATGTGTCTTGAGCGTAGAGCTCCTCGGATCGTCGGATGAGCTCTCCCTTAAACTTCACAGGGGCGCAACAGCGCCAACTCTCGACCTGGGATTCTCCGAGAAGTCGAAAACCGCGAGAAATACAAGGACCGAATAGAGTTCGAGCAGGAATTTGATATTTTCCCAGGGAGTAACTCCTCTCTGCAGGAGAGACGAGGACGTCGGCCTCGTAGAGCCTGAGTCGGATGGAATTCGAGAGTACCTCTCCCATGCGAGTTCGAACTTGACTGGTATCGAGAGTCTTTCGTTACAGATCGTCGCTTCCCCAACTGCGACTTGGCATAGTCCGCGATTTATAGACTCTTGAGACCATGAGCACCCGTCTCGTCCTAGTGACTGGAGGCCGGGTTTTTGATGTGACACACATTTATTCAAATTATTCCTGAATAGATAGGGGGAGTTAATGCGCGGTGTTTATCACAGAGCTGATTCTCCAAAGGCATATGTGGTTGACTAGCTTGGAAGGCGCATTTTGTTCCGGAGGAAACACAAAACCTCGACGAGTATTTCTCGAGTGAAGCGTGAATAGTTCGTCAAACAATTTCTCTAGCTTGACGGTTTGTCTGAGGTAATCAATATCACATTTTTCGAGTAATTCCCTAACCCTACACAAATCGAACACCTATGTCTGACTTGCCGTACAAACCTGCGCCGGATGATCTCCAGACGCTCGAGATCCAGCTTTCTCAACGGGTTCCAGATAACACATCTATATATATAAAAACGTATGTCTGTTTGTCTGTATGTCCGGGGTACCCCATAGACTCGAAAACGGCTGAACCGATCGTCGTGAAAATTTAGGTGCGTGTTCTGGGCGATCCAGTGGTGGTTATAGGGGGGTCAGTTCTCCGATGCGATGAGTCCTTCTACCTTAAAAAAATTTTTGAGTGCTTTACCCACGAAAATACGAAAACTCGGAAAAAAGTTGAAAAATCCGAAATTCGCTAAATTCACAAACGCCCGAACCGGTCACCGTGAAAATTCAGGGGTGGGTTCCCGGGAGCTTCAGGAAAGTCATATGAGGGTCGTCGTTCTCATGTGATGGGTCCTCCCACCTTAAAAAAATTATTTGAGTGGTCCTCTAACCGAGAATCAAAGATATCATCAGCGGGGAATCCTATATGCGGTATTCGTCGACTACAGGGCAGCCTTCGACTCTGCCCCGAGAGACAAAGTGCTTCAGGCCGTGGCGGACGTCGGCACCCCACCAAAAATCCTCACGCTGCTGGCTGCTATCCTACAGCCCAACCCGATCACGATCGATGACGGTATCTCGGGAGCGCGGAAAGCGGGGAAACGGGAAAGTGGGAAAACGGAAAAGTGGGAAAACGGAAAAGTGGGAAAACAGGAATGTGGGAAAACGGGAAGCAGGGAAACGGGAAAGTGG